TCTTAATCTCTTGGAATGAAGAGCCACTGTGGTGAAGTTGAAAGGGCAAAGGGCCCAAGAGTCAGGGGACCTGGATCCCGGCCCTGGCTCCCTTACTCATTAGCTGGGTGACCTGGGCTAGTCTTCCTGGGGCGAGAAGGGAAGAGAGCTGCAAGGTCCTGCAGGAGTGGAGTCTGTGTTTCATAGTTTTCTGTGTGTCTCTCCCAGCCCTTAATGCGGGGCAGGCCCGGTGTGTGTGTGTTAGGGGCTTGTTGACTGATTACCTGGGTGTCACCAGTGATTGTAACCTACAGTAGTCCTGCCAAGACTTTCTCTTTCTGCTTCCAAGGATAGCAGCACTCTAACATCTTCTCATTAATCATATGCACTATATTAAGCTAATATTTTAACAAACATGAGTGGTACAGCCGACTCTTCTGGAGATTAATTAGTTGTCTGCAAGATGACTTTGCATTCCCAGGGGATTGGATGTAATGAAGAGACCAGGATGTAGTGAAGAAACCAGCAGATTGGATGTAGTGAAGAAATGAGGGCCATGGTTTTAAAATATATATTTATTATTTATTAAATAATATTTTAAATATTTATTATTTATTCTTAATATTTATATTTATTTATTTTAAAAATATTTATTTATTTTGGCTGTGCCGGGTCTTAGTTGCAGCACGCCGGATCTTTTAGCTACGGCACGTATGCAGGATCTAGTTCCCTGACCAGGGATCGAACCTGGGCCCCCTGCATTGAGAGCACAGAGTCTTAACCACTGGACCACCAGGGAAGTCCTGAGGGCCGTGTTTTATTTCTTTTTTCTTTTTTTTTTTTTTTTTTTTTTATTTTTTTTTTTAACGGTACGCCGGCCCCTCATTGTTGTGGCCTCTCCCGTTGCGGAGCACAGGCTCCGGACGCGCAGGCTCAGCGGCCATGGCTCACGGGCCCAGCCCCTCCGCGGCATGTGGGATCTTCCCGGACCGGGGCACGAACCCGTGTCCCCTGCATCGGCAGGCAGACTCTCAACCACTGCACCACCAGGGAAGCCCCCGTGTTTTATTTCTAAGGTGAAAATGTGTTTGCCCTTAAGCCTGCATGGAGAAGGAAATATTTATATGGATACAGAAGACACTTGCATGGAGTAATCCCAAGCTTCATGGATATTGTTTTTTTGGTTATTGTGACATTCTTTTCCTACAGAATGATTATCAATAACATAAATATAAATGTTCATTATGCAAAATAGCAACTCATTTCTGACCGTTTATTTAGCACCTAGAGTGTGCAGAGGCCCTCTTAAATCTGTGGGGGAACTGGGACTCTACGGGGCAGATGAGACCCCGTTTGGTTGAATTGTACTATGTATTTGCCATCTGAATATGTGGCGCACGCGTGGCAGGAACTCAGGACACTTTTGCTCAGTGGTGACTAAGTCTAGTGGCATCAGAAAGTGTTTCTGGCCTTGAAAGGTGGGAGAGGCAGTGCCGGGGAATGTGGGCCGCAGCCACCCCATTGGAGCAGGTGCCAGAGGTGTTTTGACTTGAGGAATGGGCAGCATCTGTAACCAGAAGAAGAGACAAGGGTAAGGAGATGAGGCAGGAGACACGAAACAAGGTGCTGTGGATTAAAGCAGTTACGGTGTGTTTGGGGAGAAGCAAGGAACAGTTTGGTTGAGGTCCACTTTTGCTGGGGAGTACATAGAGGGCTGGACGGAGCTGGAGTAAGAGAACATCACGGAAGGATGGAGTTTGAACTATTTATTGTGACAAGATTAAATAGAGGAATTTAGTTGGTAGTGGCACGTAGGACTGATGTGAGGTGAGCAGTACAACTGTCGACCGTTAAACAGCAAGGAGGACTTGTGAGGCTTTTTAAAAATCCCCGTTTTCTGTCTCTGTGTTGTGCCTGTGAGAGAAGGATTACGTGAATCCGATGGTCTTCCGTTTGTACCGTACTGAGGGGGTCCGTGTGTGGGGCGTGGTTAGGCAGCTGTCTCCCAAGCCGGTGCTCGGAGCTGGAAAGGCAACTTGAAAGAACTGCCTGGCAGAAACTTACCCGCCTCTGCAGTTGCGATTTCCTAAACCTCAGAACCCATGTGAAGTAACTGATCTAATAAATAAGTGGAATTTAATCCACCCGGAAACAACCCTGACTTGTTGGTCTTCTTTTTGTTTTGACATTTTTCTTTCTTAGCTGTTTACAGTGGGGACTAGAATTCTGCAAGGCAGATGACAACCGTTTACCCCTCACTGCAAACCTAGCCCAGTTCTGACTGAGCCCCAGGGGTGGGAGTCCAGGCCAGGGCTTAGGTGGTCCATGTCCTGGGGAGCTCATGTCCTCTTTGGTGATTCTCAGCAGCATCCTGATGAGACGCTATGGAATGTTTCTTGGCCCAAGTTGAAGTTGGAGATTATTCTTAGATTTTACATTCTTATACTAATTCTTCCAAATCTGATGTGTACTTTACACTTACAGCACATCTCAGTATGGTCTGGACACTTTTCAGTGCTTGATAGCCCCATGTAGCTGGTGGCTAGTGTATTGGACAGTCCAGCTACAGAGCAAGACTCTTAAAGAAAATAGACTTTATTTTTCAGGGCAGTTTTAGGTTCACAGAATAATTGACTACGAAGTCAGAGTTCCCATATATTCCCAGCACCCCCCCCCCCCCCC